TTATATTACGGTTATTAGGAATTTATATTATAGAGAAGTGTAGCATAAAATGAGGTTCATAATTGTGATGAAACTTTTCTTATTTAAGAGCGCAAGTTCATGTCTAAACATATCGAAAAATCGATTAATCGGTCAATGTTGTCGCTTGCTATGTTTACATTCCCCAGCTAATGAAAATGCTAACATTTCGCATGTTTTACGTACGAAATAAAAACAAAAGTGAAAGTATGCGGTTGTGTATAAACGACACAAGAGTACAATAAAAGTCAAACAATAAGACCACTTCAGAAGCAGTCAATGTTAATTTCAATGTCATCAATTTTGTCTAAAAATTAATGGACACGAAGATGTATATTTTATGTGCTCGAATTTTCTAGTACTTTTCATCTTTTAGTAAGTAATATTTAATCATAATTTTTAAATTTACATAACTAATTTATTGAAAATAGAAAAAGTATATATTGTAAGTATGTCCTAACTTTTAGTTTTGATCCATCAATTCGAATGGTATTTAAATAAAATATTTTTACAGGTTCAATGTTAAATCGTTAAAATAGTAAGGACAAAAACTTATTGACAAGTTTAAATTTATAATTGTTTATTTGCCGTTCATTTTTATCAGACAAAAATTAATTCGTTCATATTCAGATTGATAAAAAGAATTACTGGAATAAACGGCTTTCAGTAATCCTGTTGAACATAAAAAAAAATGATAGACATGATTTCTTGAAAAGAATGCACAATTTAAAAAGTCAGAGGAAAAAAGGGTCGAAATGTCAGATTCAGTTTTAGCAAGATTTCCAAATGGAATTGTTGGCGTTCCATGTCCAGCCAATGCTCGTCCATCGTTCCGTTCTCTGTTCGTTCACTTCTACTAGGCTGTAATATCGTGAAATATTTGGTTTCGCGAGCAGGAATTGCACTGATGGAGTGGAGTGAGAAATGACAAGGATAGAAAGAGGCTACGAAGGATAGAATGACATGAGAAAATAGAACTAGATTATTGTATATGTATATTTAGCTTGTACAGATGATCCCTCATATTTCTGTTTGATATCGTGTTGTAGAAACTGTGAAATTCGAGAATTTCTTGTTTACGTATAAACATTAGCCATTTCATTTTGAAATGCTATATCGTAGTTTACTGATGACAAGCAATCAAATTGATTTTGTCATATACTACTCATTTATAACAGTACTTTTAATATTATTTTATCAATTTTTAATTGGTTAATCTCCAAAAATTTTTAATCTCTCATTTATTAATAAAGAATATCATAATTCTTGTTCAATGAGTATTGCATGGATAATAATCGATTAAATGTATTCAATGATAAATTTCATTAATTTTTAATTCATCAAATGAATATTGACAACTGAATTAACAAATGAGTTTTATTAAATGTTTCATCAGTGAAAATTTTAAAAATGATTAAAAATTAATTGAGTTTAATTCTCAATAGACAAGATAATACATGTATTCAGTATAGTTAATTTGACAAAAATAGTTGTACTGTTGAAGAAAAAATGAATTGGCTTCTTCAAATTCATTCGTTACGTCAGTTTTATATACATTTTCTTCAACTTTACATACTCTTCAGCATAAAAGCGGGTCGCTGGGAACGTATAGTCGTGATTACCGAGCCACTTATCATAATTTCGTTGTTCGTCTTCTTGGGTTTTCTCATTCACGTATGTCCTCCTCTAGTTTAAGCTGAAAACGTCGTATTTTCGCAGTTCGAAAGACATTTTTCTCATCCCTCTTATACATTTACCGAACTCACTCAATTTTTCAAAAAATGGAATTTAAATATTTAAACCTTGTGACTTCTAAAATGCTGCGGGGGATGTCAGCGTCGCGCAAACAAGGGAAACGCAAATATTACCAACGCGGCTACCTAGATTGCTCTCGGGTACCGTTATTTCTATGGTTCTGCAAAATCCTCGGATATTTGAGTCAAGAAGAAAAAAAATGAATTAAAGCCAGACCAAGAGTTACTTATTACCACCCAAGTCATTCAGTAGATTCAATAAAAAAAAATGTAAAAATTAAAAAAGCAGAACAAGTGAGAATAAAAAAATATAAAAGAAGAGATTTTTTATGCAAAATTACTTCTTTGACTCTTTGAAAATATACTCGAGGGTAAATCTGAAGATGCAAGAGGTGTATTTAGAGGCGGACGAGTACCTCCAAAAGCTATACTAACTATACACGTAGTAAAGTGTAGAGGATATGTGTGATGTTACAGAGTGTAAAGCACTCGGTTTGATGCGAAGAGAGATAGCAGGCACTTAATTTAACATGGGTATAGAGAAGCGTCGAAGCACTTTGCGAACGCGTTTAATGTGCGTAATAACTGCGGCACAGGCAAAATAACCGGCCGTAAGTGGCGATTTTTGTAGGCGCATCATGCGAGATAATTAAACCGTCACTGCTGCATAATGTAGCCTTCAAATTGTCCATAAGAACGTGTTTCCTTTTATTACAATCATTCATCAAAATGCATGTATAATTTTCTGTAATTATTCTTGCTTAATTGCATATAATACTTATCACTTTTCTGGATTAATTTTTGACATTATTTATTGTCTTTTATGACATCAATTTTATCACATTTTGTGTTAGAAAATATTCAGTAATTAGATTATGATAATAATTGATTGGTTTTATTTATTAATATCAATAAGGAGTTTATTTCATTATCATCAGGTAATCAATCCGACTAAAGTAAATTTTATTATAATGGAATTGAGTATAATTTGATAACAATAATTTATGTATTTAATAGATAAATGGGTATATTATTAATTATAATTGATTCTGTCGGATTAATTAATTAGCATATATTTATTTTTTTAATTATTTCTTTCAATTTATTATTGGATCAAAAATACTGTTCTAAAATGATGATATGAACTCTTAAGAGGTCATTCTTTAAATGTTTTTTTTTGCATATTTCACCTTATTTTTGTCGCAAAACATCTAAAGAAAAAAATTTAGTAGGGGTGGGAAAATAGCAAGCAAGTTCTTGACTCTGCCAATTATAGTTTGGCCGTGCGAAGTCTTCTTGATAGATATACGGGCCTCTAAAACACTTGGCGGTATTTTTTGGTCTTAGGGTGACAGTTTCACGGGTATATAGAAGAGGATAGAGAGTGGGTGTTACGCCTGAAGGAGAGACGCATCAGGCGCGACGCTCGTCGCCTTTAATGAGGCGCAGTCTGATTCGTTGCTTCTATTTACACTGCGAGTGTTCACCTCATCTTCTTTCTTTCTCATACTCTACCTTGTTCCTTCGACTTTTTTCCCTACGCTTCAATTATCGTCGCGAGATTCTGAATTTAAGATTCAGCGGTGATTGCACGACCAATTGAATAGTAAACCACAGTTTAATGACTTTCCTGCATGTTCTCTTATAGTATAGGTTGAAAATCATTTCTCTATTTTTCTTCATTATTATTTATTGGTTTTATTTTATTTTAAAATCTATAATAAACCGTTTTACGATGGAGTATATTTTATATGTATATATTTTTATATATATAAAATATGGGATTTTTTTATTTAAAAAAAATTTATTATTAGTGGTCTCAAGTATTCATAAAGATGACTGCATTCATTTTTATGCCAGTCTGTCTGTCTGTCATAGACTGTTAATTTTAAAACTGCTTGACAAAATAACTTGAAATTTAGTATGAAATTAAAAGTAATTATTCTAAATATAATTCTGTAGACATTAAGAAAAAAAAACTTTCATTCGTATTAAAGGTTTTTAAAGAAAGAGAGCTTTTTAAAATTTATTTATATTAATTACCAGATTTACCAGGAAAAAAGAGAAAAGTATATTTTATATTCACTTAGAAAATGTATTAGGTTATGAAATAAAAAAAATAATGTATTCACTTGAGGGATCATATACTCTTAGCTTCTTCAAAAGGTACTTATGAAAGTTTCGAGGATGATTAGTTGACTTGTTATGAGAGCTTAGAGTTGTTAGGATATTTTTGAACATAGCAATATCGACTTTTATATTATGTATGAAAAGGATTAATCTGCATTTTCATTTACTTTTTTTCCTGCATCTCATATTTTTTTTTCTATCTTATATTTTTATTTTTTGTCTTTTTCACTCGACCAAGCATTTCTTGGTGGTTTCGCTTGATCGCTTTTTTCCACCCGTTGCATCTTTGCAAATAACCTTCATTCGGATCACACGTGAGAAACCATTTCCAACGGTTTTACTTTTCTTTCATATCAATTTTTTATATTTTATTATATCTTTCCTACTACCCTGTTTTCTATCGTAATTTCATTCATCTGTATTTTGATCTCTCATTTTATACTGCTGTACATTTTTATTCGTGCACATCTTGTTGAAAAAAAAAAAAATTACTTGCTATTTGCATAAAAATTGTTTCTCCCCCAACCCTTTTTTTCTTCTATTGCATCCGTCGTCCCTCGTGCTCTTGTGTTCCAATCCAATACCATTCATCGACTACGTAGACGAACGTAAATTGAACAGGAGTTGTTGCCGTGCTTTCACAATGTAGCCGTTAGATAGCAGCAGCTCTACCACATCGCACGTGCCTACTTTGGATTTCCCCACTTTCCCTAATATACCTGCCGACTTGTCCGAATGTTTCCGGGAACGCCCGAAGCATTTTGCGGCAGCGATCGAGCGACGTCTCTCTCCTCTCTTGCTTTCCCCGCCATACTACTATTGCCCCCTCTACTGTTTCATTTACTCAATTCTCCAAGTTAATTTTCTTGTCTCTGTCATTATATTTTTCAAATGAATTGTTTAAATTTTTTTCCCACTGACCAAATAAAAGCTTATGCATTACTGGTATGAAAAAGAAAATATTATTGTTCAATAAATATTGGCCAAAAATTGATCTGCCGGTTCGAATAATTCCATCTCTGTCGGAGCAGCACAGTAGTAGAGGTTCTCTTTATCATGCTTTCCCCACTATAGTTAGTGGAGTTGCTTGCTCCCTCCAGCGGCATCCTCGCCCCATAGTGGTAAGACCAGAGTCTCCATACGCTTCAGAGTCGAATGTATGCTTGTGCGATAAGCACGCATCGTGTTGTGCTCTAGCCGGCACGTTTTTCGTTTCCCTATATCCCACCAATCGACGCCATTATTATCAACGACAACCACTAACACGGATTGTTGCGAAAAAAGTGCGCGTTAAAGTCAAAACAACGACAATAAAGCATTTAAACGGGTTATTTTGTAAGAAGAAAATAACATCCTTAGTAACGTGAAGGAAGCTGACCAACACTGTCTCATGCTCTGTGCGCACGCCAATACTCTGTGGTTATGTTGAAGAAAAGTGTCTGACGTGAAGCTATTGAAGCTCGTGTCTCAAAATCGAGAAAATCATTTTTTATTTTTTGTTCAATTACAAAGTTCGCTTTGACAGCTGACTTTGACATCAGTCGAGTCATAAATAATCAAGTTGACCACAAGAGCTTCTTGAGTTTATCACGTCTATAATTTTTTCTCACACTCTTGTCTTTTATAGTCGTCAGATTAAGTACTGAATATTTAGATATTCAGCTATCGGCGTCCTTTTAACGAGAATAAAAAATTCAAACTTCTACGTAACGTGAATGTCTTCATAGTGTGTTTACCAGTGAAGTGTTATGTGAATTATGTGATTCGTGCCAACATTTGTTCGTCTGGAAGAGTCTTATTATTTAGCCATAAAACCGGGAATTCGCGGATATTGTGTGAAGGTTAGTAAACTCTACTTTCCCTCTATATATATATATAGATGTATAAAAATTTTTTTGCCTTTTGCTTTCTTCCTTCGGGAGTTTTTTTCCGTGTACGAGCTTGAAACGAGGAGGTTTGATCGATCGGTGAATTGTTTTTTTTTCTTTTTCATGTCGAGACTTGCCGAACGATTTTCTTAGCGGAATGTTGGAGATCTGTACGGTAAAAGAGTGAATGTTCTGAAATTTCAGGGATTTCCGGATAGTGGTTTTTCGGGTATCCTTTTACTCCTTTTTTTTCTCCTCGTATGCTTTATTTCTATCCTATCTTCCACAATTCTTTGTTCGTGGATTGTAGGAAATGAGAGGGAAATGTTGACGGGGGCGTTGCGCGCCAGGGATTCGGGTTTATGCTAAAACGATGTGCAATGTTGCGTGATTAGAATCTCTTGTCGGGTTAATGATCTCACGGGATGTAAGCGGGGCTTTAGCCAAGCTGATTGCTATCTCGACTGGTGTTACTGCCAGCTGCTCCGGAAAATTCTCGCCCCTCTCAAATTATTTTGGAACTTTCCTCTTTATACTCAGTAGATAGTCTTTGATATTAAAAAAATCATCACTAAAACACTTTTTTAAATAATATTAACCATCATCTATGTTATGAATGCTCATATTCGTAGTTGGAAAAATCTTTTTTAACATTCAAAGAATTATTTGAAATTTATTTTTAAAACACTCCAATGATAAAAACATCCAAAATTTCAGTAAAAACGAAAGAATCCTTATTGAAGAATTTTTAATTAATTCTTTTAATAAATCTCAGTAGGGGGTCTTTTGTAATATAATTTTTAAAATTATGCTTAAATTAAATTCCCCTGTATCATGAAAAATGAAATTGAATTCATAATCTAGATGTTGATAAGATTATTAAAATACTAAAATAAATATTTCTATGAAAATTCACATACATTTTTAATATTTAAGAGAAACTTGATTTAAAAGAATCAATGTTTAATGTCAATAAGTAGCCACTGAAGGTAGAAATTCCTCGAATTCAACCAATAGATGAATAATAATAATTACTAACATGCCGAAAAGATATAGTCGAGTGAAAATATCAAAAAGTCAAAGCATAAAATCTTGCATTTTATCACAGTAGTAATATTAATGTGTGCTAACAAGGGATAGGTATGCGCAGCAAGAATGGCACGTTCGTGTCCTCGGTGCAGTTTTCTTATCAGCTAAAATGTGCGGTGTGTTAAGCAATTTGTGTCTTTTAACCTTTTTACCTTTTTCTCTTCTTATTCTTTAGTAAACTCTGCGTTAGAAATCTTTTGTCAGCGAACAATATTTCGTATAATTCATAGCGGAAAGACTTTTAGATGAGATACACGTGACAATCTTGAATTGAAACAGGTTTTTTTTTGAGGTCATTTGCTTTATTCCATCGTAGCATGGGGACGATTACGCGTGATTCGATAAGTATCTACAAGAAGGTCAATGTCTTGTTCTGGATAATTTCGTTAATCCACTGACTTGTCAGCAGATAAATTACAGCAGTCGTCAAAAATAATACAATGAGTCTATTTCTTTTATAAAGTTAACACCTCGAGAGTTATTTCCTTTATTAACACTTCAACACTATTCATAAATTATCAATGCTCAAAGTAGTTTTGCGTTTCTACAAATACATACAATTTTATTCGAAAAAAAATCATTAAATATAATTTTTTTATAATTATTCATAAAAATATTTATTTAAAAGGAAAAATTTCTTTTACAGTACAAATATCAGAAATAATTATTTTCTTTCTCGTTTATTTTTTTTTTTTTTTCATCATAGTAAAATATTTTCTTTTTAAAAAAAAAAAAAAAAAAATATCAAAGTTATCATTTGAATTATTCTGTTATTTTTCAAAGTAAAGATGAGAAGTACTGCTGCAGTATTATCTTGCTGTTTATAGTCATTATACACATTACATTTTTAATTTCACATTAATTGAATTTAGATTATTCATAAGTTTATCAAAGAATATTTACAGCGAAATAATGAATATTTACTTTTTTAAAATAGTCATTAATATTACTGTCAGAAGTATACACACGTTTTTTCTTAATTTAACTTTTTAGCCTTTGATGTAAAATTTCTTTTGCTGAGTTATTTATTAACAAAGAAAAATTTTATACTCTTCTTGAAAGTTCAAAACTCTCAAATAAATCATCAATAAGTGTATAGAAATGTTAGGAGTAATATTTGAAATTGAATAAAGGAGGATTTTTCACGTGGAATAATAGTGACTCGATGGATTAGATTTTAACAAAAAAGATTCGAATGTCAATGTAAAATATTGAAGCAGATATATCAATAATTCAGTGTATATAAATTAGTTTAATAAGATGGAATGAATTCATTTAAATGTTAGATCCATTTTTCGTTAGAAGGCGTTAAAGTCATCCACATTGATCTTTGTTACAATTGTCTTTTTGTTTTAATTTCACTAGTCCAATTTTATTTATTAGATAAGCTTGGCGGATTTAAGCTTGCGAGATTTATGAAGCTGTATATTTATTGGATATAAATTTAATACGATTACTCATTGTTAAATCTAACGAGAAGAGTCCTTGAATAAATAAAATCGGTTATCGTAAGAGTATATGTACTATGTATCTATATAATATAATCCCTCAGCATATCAGTAGCTTATCTTGTAAACACAGAATGTCAAGATAAATATTTAAACAATTAATTGTCAAGCAATAGTAATGTAAATTCATTTTTAACTGATTGTTAATTATTTTACCGGAAATTTCATATTTTTTCTGTATGATGTATTTTCATTTCTCATTATTACGTTGGTTTCTTTCTTATTGTTGATAAAAGACTGTGTTTAGTGCGGTTGTAGAAATTTCTCAGATAATTGGCTAAGAAGAATAGAACTGTTCAACTAAACTGAAGTTGAAAATACCTACTTATAATAGAGTCGTTTCGCTATTTCTTTCACACAAAGTCCTTAAAAGTAAACCTGAAAATTGAGACGAACCAAAAAATCTGGCGGTCGCAGGTCAAAGTGAGTCTTTGTGTATGTTTTGTGTCTATGAAGAAGAAAGACAGCTGTCCCAGATGGAAGAAGAATATTTCTAAATCTACGTATTTAGAAATTTGAGGTAAATCTTTGAAATTGGAAACGCAATTACAATGACAATTTCGGATTTACAGTAAAAAAAAAATATTCTTTCTTCCAACGATAATTAGAATAGATGTTTTAAATACTCAACAATTGTAATAATTTTTTTTTTAATTAAAAATATATCTAATTTGCTGTTCATTTCTTTGATGCTATTGATTTATTGTTCTGTTGATATCGATATTAATTTTGTGAAATATTTAAAATGAATTTTAGTGTGAGAAAGCGATATCATTTGTGATGTGTAAATATTTGTTTAAAAAAAAAATAGTCAAAATGAAGAATAAAATAGTGATGTTTGCTTTGATATTGACTTTAGGATTTTAGTTGGTAGTTAAAAAAGTAGAGAGTATTAATTTTCAATCAGTTTTCGACCCTTTGACGTTTGTCGGAGCAAAGCAATTGCTCTCATGATATTCGAGTCCATATCCCGCGGCTCGACGACCACTCGGCATTGACGCGAAGAGAAATTGACGTTGCAGGCGAATTAAACGACATTCGATAGATCAGAGAGAGAATAGACACTTGAAAGCCGACGGGACGCCTCACTATTCGAGGGTTAGGGTGCATAAAGTCGATTTGGTTAGTTAAACTCAAAGTAAAAGCTGGAATATATTCAGTATATAACTCTCATAGACTAACCATTAGTTTCTCGTTCGTTTTCTATCCATCTCATTTTCTCTCTTGTGTTTAAATACTTGGATTTGAACCTTTAGATGAAATTCCAACTGATTCGCGGCCAAATACGTTCGCGAGGTACAACCTCTAGGGCGTTTTCGAACACTAACAAAGCACGCTAGAGGGGTGGAAACAACACGAGAACTCGAGAGGCCATGAAACCGTTGATAGGAATTTCCGTAATTCCGTGGTAACATAATCGAATATTACCGCAACGCTGTGCATTAGTATACGAGATCGCCAACCGACGGATTGAAACAGAATGGGATATTTGAATTATTAACGTTCACTACATGGATAATCGTACATTTCTCCTTTTCAAATATGTTTTAAAAAAAAATCGTTCATTCATCTATTATTTTTCCATTTCAAATTTCAACCATCAATCATTCGTGAAATAAATTAAATAGTCCGTTCGATACATTCAAATTTTTCGCAACTTTTCACTTTAAATCATATTTTAGTTAATAAATTTTATATAATCTTTAATTAATTATTTCTTTGATTGAAATTTCAATACAATATTAATATCATTATATGCCAACTTTTTTCGCATTTTTCTCATTTCAAATACATTTCTCTGTCTATTTTTAGTTATCTAATTATCAATAATTTTGATTGATGGTTTTTATAAAACAAAGAAAAAAAAATCATTTGTCATTTTAAAATATTAATTTAATAATTGAATACTTTTTTTACTAATTCAATTGTCTAGTGTCAATAGAAGTTTTTTTTTGTTACTTTTAATTTTATGATTATTTTTATAGATACCCTACTGATCAATTAATTTTATCTGAAAAAATTATTTTTAAATTCATTAACGTATTTAAATGATTTATCACTTGATTTTAAAAAAAAGTAATTAGATTTTAAAATAAAAATGAGATGAAAAAGTTAGGAAATGTTTAAATATTTAATTCCTTCAATGGAAGTTGCTTTTGAAAAAATTTCAATACTAAACTTTATTTGATGAAAAGTACAGGAAACTTATAGTACTACATACTACCTTGTAGTTAAGTTTTGCTTTGATTATTAACATTCGTACGTAATGAGTGTGAAAAAAATGCTAACAAGTGTTTTACCAAATATACGTTCATATCCATATATATATCTTTCTATTATTTTAATTGTGTTAAAAACAGTGAGGAAAAAAGGCTG